GGAGACCCCAGCCCAGGACTTGGGGCTGTGGGTGAGCTGCACCTAACTGTCAGCTGTTTGTTTGGGATACTTGATAAGCTCCTGGGAAAGTGGTACTAATAGCATCTACTTTCCACGAATTTTAGGTTGACTAATAAGAAAATGTGTGGCAAAGTATATTTTATATCTGGATTTAAATGTGTATAGACTTTAAAATTTTGTTAAATTGCTTGAAAGGAAAATAACAAGATTCTGCAACTCAAAGCAAAATGAGTTTGGGGAATATAAGGCCAGTGGAATAGTTTTGTTTTGTTTTTAATCTCAGGATGTCTCAGAGCTGTGTGCTTTGTGAACCTCCAGTTTCCTATAGATCACCCTTTCTCCCTCTTTTCCTTCCTTCCTTCCTCCCTCCCTCCCTTCCTCCTTCCTTCCTTTTCATTTTCTCCCACAGGTCATCTCAAGGAATTAGATTTCCTCAGAACACTCTTCGGGGGAAGTTTGGTAGACTAGGTAGATCCTCAGTTCCCATTTAACTTAAGAGTGATAGCTGTGGAAACAAAAGCCTAGTGAACAGTTCGTTGTTCAATATCATTTGTCTAAACCCTTGCTGCTCAAAGTGTGGTCTATAGAACAGGGAGTTTATTAGAAATGCAGATTCTCTGGCCCCAACCCAGACCTCCTGGGATAGAAAAGCTACATTTTTAACAAAAGTAGGTGGTTATTCCTGTGCACATTAAAATTTGGGAAGCTGCTGTCTAAAAAAGGGGTTAACACTTTTTTACTGAGGTCTCCAGGTGCTTACATCCTTTTCTACCAAATGTAGCTCAAGACATCTGACTTGGTCTGCTGTGTGGGAAGTGGGTCATCTTCTCACTTCAGTGAGGTTTCCTATTGTGCCAGCGAGGCTGCTGGGAGCTGAGACTCAGGATCCCACCCTGGTAGCACTGGTGGCTCTTGGAAGCCTTGCCGGGCTTTGCTCTGTACTTGTCCCGATTTCAAATCTTATTAGGCCAGGAAGTAGTGCCTGGCAAGTGGTTTACCCTGCTTTGGCTATTCATGCTTCCCAATTCATTTTTATTGTGCTAATTAAACCTCAAGTGATATTTCAAGTACGGATTGTTTTTCCATTATTGAATCTTTGGCCAGCATATTAACACTGCATTATTAATGTGAGTCAGATGCTTACTCATTTGTGGAAGACTTTACATTTCAAAGATCTGGACTTGGCCAATTTTGCACAGATTCCTTTGGAAGCTGCTGTGACAGGGTGATACAATTTCTCTATAAAGAAAGGAGATTCATTTTTTTCTTCACAAAAAAGACACTTAATTGTTCTTTAAGTGAACTGAATTCCTAAATCATGAACATATACTATGCTAAAATGAGTGCCACCCAACGAGGCAGTGTCCTATCATGGTGAAGGGCCTGAACTTGGTTTAAAATCCCAGGCCTAAGTGTGCTTGAGCAACTCAAGGAGACATCTTTGACCTTTCCAAACTCATATGCTTCATTTATTATATAAGGATAAAGTGCTCAGTTTCAAGATTGTTTATAAGGAGTCAGTAAAACAATAAAGATGAGAGTAAATGGTTTAGTGAATGCCTAATAGATGCTAACATTACTATAGTTATTTTAGAGTTATCAATCATATACGTGTTAGTTTGAAGAAATACCACGTTGGATTCTATAGGAAAATTAAGACTATGACATAACAATTCTTACGGAAGTCTCTTTATTTTAACCTTTTTCTGCTCAGACTATCTAAAATTTAGACACCTTCATGGAGGGCAGGAAAAGGAACCAATAGCTTTATACTTGAGATGCCAAAGGGAAGTCTGTAAGCTTGTTGGGGTGTCTGGCTAGTGGGGGAGTCATGCCTTAAACTCAAGCACGATCTCACCAGAGTCAGCACGAAAATCTAAGAATGCCAAGAAAATGAAAGAGCATCAACCAAGTGCAAGAAGTTCCAAGTTAGAAAAGCAGAGGCTGAGTGGTAGCCGCCATGAAGGCTGGGAATTCTGGTCGACAAGGTGGCAGTGGAGAAGGCCAGGGATGGGTGTAATTGTATTGCAGAATTACTGCAAGCCTCAGGATGTAAGAGGACAGGCGACATCACACTCAAGGTATTGGCTGAAAGTCTGTTAAAAAGCAGTTAAATATATTTTTGTTTCACACTATTCCCTATGCCTATGCCTCTTCTTCCTCAACAGAAAACTGGAGGTTTATTTATTTATTTATTTTTTTGTCTTTTTCCTTTTTATTGGTACCAGGGATTGAACTTATGACCGCCTGCTTTACAAGGCAGGCGCTTATGCCGCTGAGCTAAATCCCCAGCCCTGGAAGTTTATTTTGAAAAGTGTATGTAACAGGATTCCAAGGAACAGCAGGTAGAGTTGAGGCTGTAAGAACCATAGGGAAAATAATGATTTCACATGCTGGTTTTTGATATTTCTGGCCTTTTTCCTCATCAAGCAGGACACTGGAAGACTGTCCAGTGATTCCTTCACTGACCCAGACAGATTCCTTAGAACATTCCAGAGATTCTGGCAGAAGGCGGTCCAGCCAACAGGCCACTAGCAGTGCCCCACAGTGAAACTGTGCAACACATTTTCAAAGGTTGTGACCTGCCAAGGGCCAGAAAGTATTTAAGGAAAGTTTAGAATATGAAAGACAAGATTAGACAATCAAGCAGATTAACTAAAGAAGTGCGAGAAGCATAATTAACATGGGCAGAATAAAAACTCAAAAGAAATTGTCATTAATAGATGTCAGAAGACATGCTATATTGATAAAATGAAACCAGGCTGCTATGAGAATACTAGAGAAAGGAAAAGGGTGACTAAAGCATGGAAACCACAAGTGTGACAGAGGAATGAAAAACATTTAAAAAGGCTTCAAAGATATGCCTGAACAAAGTTCTTGTAAATAAATAGAACAAAGAGACACAAAGATGGAAAATAGTTAGAAAATTAGGTGGACCATTGATAATATGCAACATCAAATAATTGTACTTCTAAGTGGCAACAAAGCATTGCGTGATCATTAAACTGCATCTGTTTCTGTGCATCTAAGGAGTACATGTAACAGGGTTGCATCCTATAATTGATTCTCTCTTAAAATTTTCAAAGTATGACAACTACTTCATTTTAGGTGGTACAGCTCCTCCGTACCCTCACTAGGCACTGCAATTTCATAGTAGAGAAAAGATATGAAGATAGAGATGACTCTTGCCTGGGCATGCAGGGAGCATGAGGTTTTGTATATGTAATCTCGTTTTCTTCTCCATATGGTGGGAGATCAGTAAACAACAGTAAACATGGAGACCAAGAAATAGCAATATAAAGTTGGTATTCAGGGAAATGGAGATCAATACCAAAGAATAAATTCAAGAGAGGAAAGATGACTGAGAATAGAGAAGAGTGTCATTCAGGTGAGATGGAACTAGTTTGTTACACAGTAGTTTGAAATATTTTTCATAACACATTTTATAGATTTTAAACTCTTCAAACTATGTGATTACATGCCTAATTCATTTTAAGAAGTGACCCAGATCATATTACAGACTTCAAAAACCTTTGCATTGACACAATTCCTAATAAATCATAAAACATTGCCACAAAAGTTGTGGGGAAAAAAAAAAAACGAGAGAGGAAAAGGATGACTTACCAAGGCTATACAGTCAGTACAACTCAGGTTCTTGATCACTGATCATTTCTCTTGGAAGCCCTATGAAGGGACGATTGGCCTTTGTTGGATCTCACAGGAAGGAGAAGTTCCTGAGAGGTCTCAGTCGCCACTGACGCCACATTTTTTGGGACTACAAGACCAGGAGATATGTACTGTACCGATCCTGGTCCAGGCTAATATCAGTGATAATATCAGGGGCTTTGTCTGTAGAGAGTGCATCAAAAGGAAGGGTTTATGCCTAGCAACTTGATGTTGGGGTCACATACAGCCAGGTGAGGGGGTTAATTGCAATTTAACGACTGTCAAAGATAACTTGCCTTTACTGCCCTCCAGCAGTGGGATCCAGCTGTCGGTGAATATAGTTCCAAGCAGACATTGTGCTACTGGGGAAGGAATTTGTTTGACCATAGGACCTGCCATACTGTGTTTTTCTCTAGGACCTGCTTTCAAGTGAAAATACTCGGATGTCTGTATGGCTGAAAGCAGGGTGTGCACTCAAGAGGTCTGATATTTTGAGGAAATGATAGCAGCATCAATTTAAAGAAAAGAAAATTCTAGCTTTTGAAACGTAAGAGTATAAAAACGGTGCTTTGGAATGTTAAAAGATATTGATTGATAATGTTCAAAATTGCATGTGATAAACATATTTTAGGGTTTCTCAAATTAAACATTTTTCATTATTATAAGGGATCATATAAATTTTTTATCATACCACAAATAGGTTGACAATTTTAGTCATCCTGTTTAGCTGTGATTTATATAACGTTGGGACTTCCTAAATGTGCTGTTGCAACTTTGTCTTTGAAAAATGCTTTGAAACTACCTTTCGTTAGTAATCTGACTCCTTCAAACCCTAGGTCACATTCTTGGATTTATAAGGGTTATTTAATGTAAAAAAAATAGATTTATGCAGAGCATGCATTACCCTTCGTTTTATGACTGTAAAGAAGTGGAGAGGAGGGTGCATCAAGGAATAAATGAAATGAGATGTTGGCCCACAGGTACATTACTTATAGACATGCAAAAAAACTGGATGAGTAACTAAGAATTGAAAAGAGATGAAAAAACATACCTCTGCAAATTCATAGATTTTTAAAATAAAGATTTTTTCTATAATAGTTTGTAAAAAGGATAATAATTTGTTTTCAAATCTTACTGCTATACAGTTGTCTACATGACATTTACATACCCCAAACAGTTATATCAGCTTAACACTTTTTCAGTCTGAGAAAATAAGGGATTAATTTTGAAGCATGAAGAGATCTTAGTTTATTGCTATTATTTTAATACTGCAGTTAGTTACTTGTATATGTCTCTGTTTGCTTTTATTGTAGGATTGCCATCTGTGAATCTGATTGCACCTAATCTCACTGTGGAGGAAGGAAAGTCCATCACATTGTCCTGCAGGGTGGCAGGCGACCCCCTTCCTAATATGTACTGGGATGTCGGGAATCTGGTTTCCAAGCATATGGTAAGGCTTGGATTGACTTCTGACTTCATAGAGGGACAGTGACTATTTCAGTATGTGAGGCTGTATTAATCTAGTCTTTACTAACTCATATTTTGCAGGCTCAACTATAGAAATTTGCAAAATAGTTTTGATGCACATTTGCTTTCCATTTATTCTTAATTAGCAAAGACTAATGCATGTTTGCATTTTAATTATGTATGCCAAATAGATGGGAGAGTCTGTAATCCTAGTGAGCTTTTCGTGTTATCATAAACAAAGAAATTAACTTATTTTCTTGATCATTTTCCCTGCAGGAAGGTAGGTAGGAACTCATGGATTAAGTCCATTTCACAAACTTAGGACGTACAACAGAGAGAAATACAGTAACTTCCATCAGTCTGAGCCTGATTCTCGTAGAGAAGCTTTGCTAATATTGTCTACACACACACACACACACACACACACACACACACACACACACACTCCACTCTCTCCTAACTAGGGAAAGAGACTCCAAATCTTGTCACTTTGAGATCAATCCTAATGAAGGTTATTTTTGTCTGTTAATTCATAGAATGAAACAAACCAGACACAGGGCTCCTTGAAGATAACTAACATTTCGGCCGATGACAGTGGAAAGCAAATCTCTTGTGTGGCAGAAAACCTTGTAGGAGAAGATCAGGATTCTGTCAACCTCACTGTGCACTGTACGTAATTGGACCAACATGTGTTTCATTTGCAGATGATCAGGGACATTGCTGCATTTGTCGAGGGTGCTCTGGGTGCTTCTGGGGTATGTCTGGAAAGCATATTGTGGTGTTTGGTGCCACTCAGCTGAGAAATACCACCAGCCTCTTGTACCCGTCCTATCACTGCTTCATACCTCTTGCTCACACATTTTCTTTGGACCTTCTTTTCTGATCTTGAGCTTATTGCTTTGTTACTCACTTTTTTCCTAACAGAGCATATTTTAAGCTGATTATTCTTTTTAATTTTAATTTTAAATTCTGATAAAGCAATTTCTAAGAACTTCTTTCTCTATAAAAGCAACGTGAAATCATCAAATAGTGATTTCTGGCTCTTCACAAATACTTAATTGTGTCATTGATACAGTGCAACTTTATTAGTTTGGCACAAAATATCTGTGAAAAGGTAAGAGGCATCCTATTTAACTCACTGAAAGTTACCATCTGAAAAAATTTTTTATTATTTTTGTTTTAAATTTCTGGGTGCCTTGAAGCTATGATACAAGATATCAGTGCTTCTTAGTTAAGCATAAACATGCATTGTTTTCCAGCATTCCAAATATAATGAAGTATCTTCAAATACTAGATTGTGGCATTAAGTATGAACATGTATTAAGTGAAAATCACACAGATGCTTTGAGTCATTGTTAAGACAAATCATAAACCACAATCTTTGGTCACTCCAGTGCCACTGCAATGCTTTTGGGATATTGGATTTACAATTACTCATCATTTCAATCTACCCACAAGCTTGAGGTCAATATTATTCCCAAACACATGTGACCAACTTACAGTTCTGTGCCCTTACGTTACTACCTCACTTAAAGCTTGTCTAAGCTGGTAGAAGGGATAGCCGACTCTAGCAAGGGTCACAGGAGGTGAGTATGGGCCTTGCCCATTCCTCAGCCCTCTGTGGCTGGATTACAACCAGACCTGGATCTGCGTGCATCTACCGAGGTGTACACTGTCTTTTATGTAATGGCTATGAAGCTCCCATATTGTGATTAGATTAAATTTTATACAGGGAATCAATCATATATTAAAAACTATTTTGCTTTCCAAAAACCTTTTAAGAAAAGCTTTTGAGACATGGTTGGTAAGGCAAACAATCAAACTTTGCAAATTTAGATTTTGTAGTTTTATATTTTCTCAAGTGAGGGACCTTGAAACAATATACATTTGCAGAATTAAGTAGCTCCACATGCCCAGTGGTGAGGAGTTCCACTGGTAACTGGAAATCTTTCGTCGATTATGAAAGTTAATTAGGTTGTTTTCCAGTTTTGCTTTTTCTTTGGTATAGATCTGGGATGATTTATGTGAACACAAAGTGGGCAAGGTCAGATCGTCTTCTTTCTCTTACAGATGCTTGGACTGTCTGTGTAGTCATCAAAGTCTGAAGAGTTGAGCGTGTCTGTCAATGTTTAGATAAAGGGTAGAAGGAATTATGATGAGGAATATTAACAGCTGAGATAGTCATTGGAAAGATCTTACTGACAGTAGTTGTGTTGGCTTTCATGATTTACACTTTTCCCCTTTGTGTGATAATGTGTACATTGAATAAAACATATATGAAGGCTGCCAGATTAGGTGGAGGAGACCTGTGCTTCTGTCCCAAGTTGGCTTCTCTCAGTAATCTTTACTGGCTGACCTAACTTCACTAGATTTTGGGTTCTCTATGTGACAAACTGTGCTATTGGGTCTTGTCTTAGTGATTTTTTTTTTTTTCTGAGACAAAATACTCAAGACCCAGAGTTAGAAGAAGAAAGTTATTTGTAGTTCACAGTGTTTAAAGTTTTCAGTCCATACTTGGCTGGCTCCAAGACAGCTTGGCATGGCAGAGGGGCATCACAGAGAAGAAACCATTTATGGCAGGCAGAAGGGAGCAAAGCAGTAAAGCAGCGATCAGCAAGTGACAACAGCAGCCTTCTTTCTGTCCTTTAACCCTACCTAGGCTGTGTGTCCTTAAGGTGGAGTGCACTCACACCCAGGGTGGGCGTCCCATTATCTACACTCAGAACTACGTCAAACCAGTCAGTGAACCAACACAGTAATCACAAACCCATGATCCAAGAGTCACACAGCAATGGTGGATTCCGAAGTCATTGGCCATGTGTTTTCTCAAACTCAACAAAACCAGCATTCAGAATGATTGAATGAGGTCCCCTATAGTGACACAGAAATCTGGAGATGGGGAGAATTCTGAACTTTCTGATGCTATTAACTCTCTCTTTTTCAATTTAGTTGCACCAACTATCACATTTCTCGAATCTCCAACCTCAGACCACCACTGGTGCATCCCATTCACTGTGAAAGGCAACCCCAAACCAGCGCTTCAGTGGTTCTATAATGGGGCAATACTGAATGAGTCCAAATACATCTGTACTAAAATTCACGTTACCAATCACACGGAGTACCACGGCTGCCTCCAGCTGGATAATCCCACCCACATGAACAACGGGGACTACACACTGATCGCCCAGAATGAGTATGGGAAGGACGAGAGACAGGTCTCTGCTCACTTCATGGGCTGGCCCGGGGACATTGACGGTGAGTATCCACAGCTTTCGTAGTTGAGGAGAGGGTAGAGTCTGACACTCCACTTGTGTACCATAAAGCCATCCCCAAACCCAACAGTTTAAAGCACCAGGATTTAGTCTTGATAATAGCTCTGCATATCAGCCAAATGGTTTTACTTTATGCGTGTTTACTCTGGAGTTCGGGGTGAAGAAATGGTAGCTACACAAGGGACCACTTCTCAAGGCAAGCACAGAGTGTAAGAGGACAACGGGAAATGTGCAAGGTTCTGAAACGTCTGAGTTCCAGCCTGGATCCACGCTCCTCAGCCTGGAGGGAGTGGTCAAAGCAGGTCACAGGGCCAAAGCCAAGTCAGGGGGTAGGGATTTGTACTGCTTGAAAGGGGTGAGGGGAGAATGAATAATCTTGGACAGGCATTTGATATACACAGGATTAGTAATTTGTGTGTCTGAGAGTTCATGAGGAAAGCATTGTTAATGAGAGTTTTATACCTATAATGGTGAAACCTATGCAAAACCACAAGCGAATGAACTGTGTTTTGTTCGCTCATGAAATATTTAAGTTGATTTTTTTTATACTTGTTGCACAGAATCTTGGGTTTTCATATACAGGTCAGAAGCCAGGATTGTAGACTATTTTGTCAAATTGGCTTGTCTCAGTGAGACCGCCTGTTCATTAGTTCTTTACTTGGTTTTCTGGGAGTGTGATGAGGAAGGATGCCTGCATCTGAGATCCTCTCTGGAGCCAGCCTTCATTGTGCAGAGGTAGAACTCGTCCTCACAAAAGCTGTGAGGTAGAGTCACACAGAGATGACCTGTGGAAGGAAGGGAAAGTACATATCTGGACATCTGTACCTCTTGGGTCCCAGGGCAATACCAGGGACCGAGAAGATTCCTACAGAGCCACCTTTGCCAAATGGGAAACAAGAACAAACTCATTCTCATTATCCTATCTTTGCTAACCATCTTTTTAAATGCAGAGGCTTCCTTAGCGTGTCCAAAATGCAACTTGATCTATGTAAATGTGATTTTCCAGCAGCCTCTCTGGAGCTCAGAAAGCAGCTCATGTTTGCATATCACAATTGTAGCAGTCGTTCCCATTAAATCTTTCTCCCCTAACTGGAGCATAGCTGCCCAGCTGTGTGTGCTGTAGTAAATTGCTAGCTCCTGTGTGTCTATGGTAATTGCAGCTTCATGATGTAGGAGACTCTTGATTTGGGCCAAGATCTTTTAGTTTGTTCTTGATAAACTCCTTATTTGTAATTTTAAACTTGTAGACAAGTTACAAAGGTAGTACAGATACTTTCCTGAGATTGTGGCTGGTTTTCCCCCTTGCACCCATCTTGCATTACAGACTTACCTTGGTTAACGAACTTAATTCTGGTGAAACGAATTCTGCAACCAGAATTATGGGAAGGGTTGTGTTGGTGAGACAAGGTATCCCTGTACTGTGGTACGGTTGTCCCCATGAAGAAACTGACTCTGAGACTCCGCTCTTCACTCAGCTTATAGCTGTGTTTGAATTTTAACCACTGTGGCCTTTTGAAACTGTTGGTGGTGAGCTTGGTTTGACATGAAGGTCTGGAGTTTAAAAGCCATCAGAAGCAGGTCCATTCCCTTTGATATCTGAACAATGTAAAGCCAGTAGCTTCTATTTTAGGTGTGATTTTGATGTATTTTCTTTGAACATTTTTATATGATGCTAACATTTGGTAGAGCTGAACTTTTCTTATCTATGTGGCCTCATTTTTTTTCCTGATTATTTGTATTAGTTTTAACCTAGCTAGAAATAGGGAGGAATTGTTTTCTGGCACAACAATAAGTTCAAGTCTCTCAAAGATTTTAAGCAAATGATTATTTATAAAAAGTAAAAATTAAACCCTTACAGAATGATGATTTTTTCCTCTGTTTATTTAAGGACCATCTATCAAGGAATAATAAATGAAAGTGGGAATGGCAGAGACATGGCCCAGAGTAACAGTGGATCTAAATGGCCCTAATAAGCCATAAACCAGGGAGGCCAATTTAGAGATTATGGGATGGAATCTTTGTGGGTATTCATCAGAGTCATAGCATTCAATCACCTTTCTTTGAATTGCTTCCTTTGCCTCTTAACCTCCCTTCAAACTGAAGAAAAATAAACAAATAGAGAAAGAAAGAAAGAAAGAAAGAAGGGAAGGAAGGAAGAAAGGAAAAAAAAAAAAAACGGTTCCCTGATGGTACATTACAAGTTAAGGGCAACAGGTCAAGTTTGCCTTTAGATTCCTTCAATATTTCTGCTGTCATTGTAAAGTAATTGATGAAGTTTAACTCTCATAAATCTTTTTGAGACATTTCATCTACTGCACTTCTACCTCCAGTGGTTTTGATGACATTCCTTTATTATTTATTTTTTTTCACATTGGAAATTTCCTGTCTTAAAAGGAAATAGGCAGACTGGGCTCACCATGAAGCCAGCTGTTTGTCCACACAGAGCTAGAAGAATTAGGGTGCCAGCCCTGGCACCCTCTGGAGGATGTGCTTGCTGTTCAGCTTAGGTCCGTGATGATGAGCTTTTGAGAGGTTTCAAATGATAACAAGCAACTGGCCATGGCATCAGTGCCATAGGTAAGCCTCCACCGGCATAGATAGTCCCTTTGCTTAAGAATGCATTTTTGAAGTGAAGGAATGCAAAATGTTGAAAGAAATCAAAACAGTAAGCCAAATAAATAGAGTCCCTATGACAACAATTGGAGAACATGGAAGAGGCTGGACATCGTGACATCATGATGTCCTTGCCCCTTGGTGGCCTAGAAATGCTGCATGATGGCAGCTGCTTTGTTCCCCACTTGGAGAAGGATGGGGCAGCTAGATGTGGAAGCAGCATCAGCCCGGGCCTGGAGTTCCCACTGCACAATTTGAGACAAGTCTTTGGACATAGATGGCAAGTCAAGGTCCCTGTGGGATGCCTGCATGTGTCCTGGGACCATGTAGATGCTACCACGATGGGGAACCAGGGTCAGTATGGAAAGACAGGCATTGCCACTCTGAAGGAGTTGGCAGAAGTCAGTGCCATCTCCATCTGTTAATGCTGGAACCCTGGCCCAGGCTCGTTACTGAAAAGGCAGGAATAGCTCTTCCAGGCTCCATGCATTGCCTGGATCACTTTGGACTCCTTTTAAGAATTAAAATCTGGCCTGGTCAGTTTAGGGTTGTGTTTAAAGAACAAAATGCAACTTTAAGCTTCCAAATGAAATCTGGAGACTATGATGTCCACTGAAGAGCACAGTCCGACAAACACACTGGTATTATTTTTGCTTCTCATTGTCTTGGTAAAATCGATTCGTCAAAGTAGTCTTTATGCTGGCTCCCAGCATAGCAGTGTCCTCCTGCTGCTTGTTGGACATTAGAAAAAACTATGAAATTTTCAATATTATTTATTTCACTTTTTAATACACATTCCTGGGAATTTGGATTCAGTGGCTCCCAGTTGGACTTGGATTTTTTTTAGGACACTCAATGACTAACCAATAAAGATGTTACTGCTCTTGGGAGAACTCTGAGCCACCTAAGATTTTGCTGCTGACTGTGACTGAGTAACAAACAACCTTTTGGTTATTTTAGGACACAGACACCCTCCCAACTGGGAAACACTGTGTCCCACTCAAGCTGGAAGTCAGAACCGTGAGCTTAATATCATGGCCAGCTACCTCTGCTTCCCACCTTGGGCTGGCAGGACCAATGGCCATAGATGGCAGTCTCTGTGGTTTCTGTCCCGCTGCTATGTAGAAGAAGGCAAGGGTATGAGGTGGCAGGGAAGTTTGTTCAATGGTGATTTTGAGCTCAGAGCCTGGGAATATTCTGTGCTGTAAGTGAACTTTCTTCCCTGGAATGTGTGTAGGTCTTGGAGGATGTGCTCTCTGCTGTTCCCTCGATGTAAGCAAACACATCTTTATGCCATCTGCTGGAAGCACAGAGATACCTCAGTTCACATATTCAGTTCTCTCCACTATTCTAATCAGAAACCAAATTGGATGAAAACCTAACCATTGAATTTGATTTGGTTCTCATCCAGCTTGGTGTGTTTTTCCACCAGAACTGTGAAAAGAATCAAGTTTGTGAACCAAGGTACCGCCTCCAGGAAGAATCTCTGTGTGGTGTGGACCCTTCTGCTGCTCCAGGCAGGACCTGAGATTCCGCACACTGGATTGCTCTCCTGTTGTCTGAAAATGACCTCTGGGGAGCATTCCAGATTCCCAGGCTGGACATACCTAGGTGCACAGGTTGAACCAGATGCTATCTCTATCCCATGACTGCAGGCTGCTGTCAGCTTCCCAGTATGAGGCAGGCCTATTCCTTTAAGCCTTCCCTGTACTGGAAGCAAGGCTGAAGCTCTTGGAGGGTGCTGCAGCGGTCCCTGGTAAGGAAAATAGTGTGACAGCACTTCCCCGAGAAACTTCCTTATAAATCCTCCCTTAAACTTCCTCCTTGGACTACTTCAGATCTCAAGGCGAAACTCAAAGTTGTTTCAAAGGACATGAGTCCAAGTCACAGTCAGGTCTTTGGTGAATTCTGCCACTGAGAGCTTAATGTCCATTTTGATGTCATTTACTGAGGCTGGAAGGGTCTAGTTTAAGGTTCTGTTAGAATCTAGGGCTTTTGAATCACCTGACGCCTCTGTGGAGGGCTGAGAAATAAAGGGTCCAGGGTTATCCCTTGTAATGAATTCCAGGGTCCAAAACTATGGGTACACTTCCTGTTTCTTAGAACGGCAGCAGGGGTGAGACACAGGTCTAGGGGACCAAGACACTGCCCCTCTTCCCAATGAAGGAAACATTTCAATAAACTAGAACGAGAAGGATGAAATGTGTAGAAACATTCGCTTTCCCACCCGTCCACTCTCCCCTCTGCGGCTGCCTTCATCTTGGCTCTTGGAGATCCACCTCAGATCTGCAGGGATGGCTCATCCCAGTACCAGACAGCACCCAGCTGAAGAGCTGTGGGAGTGGGAGGCAATGAGAAGATGGGGAATTG